AGCCCGGCACCGCTGACCGCACGCCGCTACAGGCTAGAGAGACACAGCTCCGACACCCAGGCCAGAGGGACCCAGACAGTCTGCACGGTCTCTCCAGGGCCCCAATACGCGGCCTCCGGGGCCTCTAGGTTAGAACTCACGTCTGTGGGACCACGGTCGCCGGGAGCCACGCGCAGGGCCTACCTGGAAGATGGCGGTTCCGGCCGAAAGGAAGGAGGCGGGGCCGCAGCGCGCGTCTTACAAGGGCCCGAGGGCTGCCCGCGGCACTGCCAGAAAGAAACGCCAGCTGAGAGCGTCTCTTCTGGGATTAGGGGATCGTCTCCGAGAATAAGAAGAGCCTGTCAGGATATTTTCCTTTCTTATAAAAAAGAAGCAATCGACCAACGTGAGCTGATACTTGGATCTTGCCAGACAGCCCGGAAGGGGGCTTTCCAGGGGGTCAGACACACGCCGCCTCCCGAGAGGGCCTGCGGCCGGCCTACATCAGAAGCGGCGCCGGAAGCGGAAGGCGGGAGTGGTTCCTGCACCGGAGTTGTAGCAGCGCTTCTAACTCAGTGGTTCTCAACCTTCTGGCCGTTTAAATACAGTTCCTCATGTTGTGACCCAACCATAAAATTATTTTTGTTGCTACTTAATAACTGTAATGTTGCTACTGTTATGAATCGTAATGTAAATATCTGATATGCAGGATGGTCTTAGGCGACCCCTGTGAAAGGGTTGTTCGACCGCCAAAGGGGTCGCGACCCACAGGTTGAGAACCGCTGTAACTGCAGTTTGTAGAAGTGATTACGTGAGCACAAAAGTCATATTAACCAGTTTGTTTGTCTCTCAAGAGTTGTTTTCGCCAAATGCGTCAGAACATACTGCTGGTATGTGCATACATGATACAACCACTTTGGAAAGCAGTTTGGCAAAATCTAGTGGCACTGAAAATATTCAAGTAGTAAATCCCAGCATTCCGTCCAACGTATGTATCTTACAGAAACTTTGATGTGTAGACAATGATGTTCATAACAGCACTGTGAGTAGAAGCAAACACATTATGGGATAGTCATATGATGGAATATTATACGCCAATAAGTTAAGAATGAACCCAGAAATAGGACCAGGCAAAAGAGGATGATGTAGATTATATGTAGTATGACAATTTATATGTACACAATTTTAAAATAAAACAATACTATATATTGTGTAGGTACATATACTTCTGTAGTGAAAGTCAAGGAATACAAAGACATAAAAAAAGTTTTGAAAAAAGATGGGGGACTGCCGGAGTCCATTCATTGTCTTCACTAGCTGAGTTTAGACAGAGACCCCCAAAAGCTAGTAACCTTTGAAGTCCTAGCAAAGGTCAGAACTGTGCACCACCCAGTTAATCTAGGAACCACCCAGTTAATTTAGGTAATAATAGTTGAAGCATCATCCCCACCTTAGTTCACTTAATTCCTTAGATACTTATGTAGATCCTTGTTGATTATTGTTGATCAGATACTCTGCCTATTCCTGGAAATCATCTATTGATGAGCTAATCAGATACTTTGTCTATTCCTGGAAATCATCTATTGATGAGCTAATCAGATACTTTGTCTATTCCTGGAAATTGTCTGCTGATCTTTGTGTCATTGAAACCTCCTTACCCTAAGGGCTACTCCAGATCAATAAAAGATTGGAGCAGCCTGAGCATGGGTGGAAGTCCTTCAGGACTTGCCCGCCTGGTCCCCCAATATTGCAAAATTATCTTGTGTCTTTTTCTCTCATTTGTTGTGCGGCTCCTCTTTCATATACCGAACCCTACTCCACGCAGAACGTGGAGGGAGTGTTACTCGACAGGGGACTATAACAGA